GCAAATCAATCGCTTTAATTAAGCTAAATCCTCTTCTAGATTGATAGGATTCAAACCTATAAACTTTTAGTTAACAGCTAAACACCTTAATATGGCTTCAATCTACTTCTCCCGCCTATCAGAACTCTAGGTAACTGTTCCACTGCTAACTACTCCCCCAAGTAGGTTGTGTTCAATTTAAGACTCAATTACTTTCATTATTTTCAGAACCACCACCCTTTAATCGTGCCAGAACTGTAACCCTGAGTTGTCGTCTCTCTTAGCCACAGAATTCTGACTCTTCAGAGTCTGTGAATCCTTTACTCCTACTATTTTCTTTCCTTCTACTTCCCATACACACTGTGACTAAATCCAAACCTTAGTATCTCATCTTTAGATTAGTACAACTTCCTAAATAAATACCTTCCTTATTCCAGTGCCTTCCCAGGAACAATTCATTCTGCCACAACTTACTGCATACCAAGTGCTGTTCTTGGGGTTTCCCATTTATTAGCTCCTCTGATCATAAAACAAACTTACCAGTAGCTATTACCGAACAGATTAAGAACAGTAGCCTATAGTAAGCTAGTAAGTGTTGATATCTGAATGTGACCCCAACAATGCAGCTCTAGATAAGCTTGCAAACATGAATTCTGGAATGGCAACTGGTTAAAGCCAACTTCTCTTTTCTCAAACTGTACAGACTCTTCAGTTACATCAAATTACTATTTTATACTATCCCAACTTCTGGGAAGTTGAATTCTTCTCCTCCATGAATAATCCTGCATATTGCCTTCACAAGTGAACACTAAATCAAACCTTTTAAGTTTAGCTAGTTCCCTCACTCTATAGCACAACCCTCTTATGGACTCAACATAAATTATACTAATATACAGTTCTTGATATTCTGTACATACAGAAGTTTACCATCCAGTTTTATATTTTATCTTTATACGTAAACAATGAAATGTCTCCACTTCCAGTCTATGACCTTCTCTATTTCCCAAAAGCTAGTACCACAAGACCAGGCTGCATAAAGTAATAATTAATAAATGGTTATCTAACTGACAATCATATGGCTCAACTATTTAACAAAGCAGGATACCAATCTCTAGTCTTCTGCGGTGATACGTTGGTTTTCTCACTTTATAAATACTTTAGATCTGTAATTTCAACATTCCCAACTAAAAGTAAACATTCAGGTGACACCCAAAAGCAATCGAACTGTTCGATATTTTGTTGGTTTTTTTAGTTTTTGGTTCTTTTCTTTTTTCTTGGTTTGGTTTTGTTTTAAGGTAGCTTATGCCCTGTGCAGAAACAAGATTTTCTTTCCTTCCTCGGTTCCCACCTAACAGCATCCTAATTAAGCACCTCTAACTTTAAGCACTCTCTTGTAACAAGATGCCCGAGTCTTCAACAATATAAAGCAGTCAGTGAATTTCAAGAATGGTAACCAACTGTTTAAGAACAGAAAAGACTATCTGGCCTTAATAACTGTGTATGCTCTATGATTCTGATAAATCAAAATGCAGAAACAACTGTGATTATAATCAAAGCTGAATGTTTTTATTTTCCTATCCAAAAAAACCATTGTGAAACTCAAGGAAGACAATATACCAAAAGATAGTTTAAAGACAGAAATATAAATTTATATTTAAGCTGTTGATGAAAAGACAAAAATGACCGATTATAAGCACCTTTCACTAAGTGTAGCAAGTCTCAAGCACTGTGGTCTGATGAAGAGGCACCGTGCTCACAGCTACAATCCTGTGTTTTAATTTTCTGTCTTCCATATTTGTACTTACAAGGTTTTCCAAAAAGACCTTTTACTAATTACCTTTTACTTTAATAAATCATTTTAACTTAAAATATTACGTGTCCCCATACAATTGCTTACTCTGTCATTACTATTCATCAGTAAAGCAGTATCTAAAATGTTGAATCTTATCATGTACATATTAATAAAACATAGTTATCCTAAATCTCAACTCTAACTGGTATACACTGAGGCCCACACTCCACTCGTAACCTGAAAATACCTTGATATAGGCCAATTTAGTCTCCATTTTATTTAAAAATCACCATTTCTGTTTGTACTATAATTCACTTTTAAAATACATTAATAAATGGTTTTCTGTCTTCATTTCTTTTTTACTAGATGTATTCAAATTTCATTATAGCAATTTGAAAAGTTATATGATGCGTCCACACTTAATAATCTTAGCATACATAATGGAGAGAGTAAATACTTAATAATGCTATGGATTTTTTAATTAGTAGGAAAGTGTATGCAATTATAAAAGGGCAGCATAAGGCTGTCTTTACCACTATCATTACCCTATTTGTGACACCATGCTACACTTAAGGAAAACATTACCACTGGAAGAAAATGGAGAAAGCAACACTGGATCTGTGGATAGTTTCCCTTTTGTTTTTTGTTTTGGTTTGTTTCCACAGTCTCATGTAGCCCACTCTGGGCTTTAATTTTCTATGTATTCAGTTGTAACCTTGAATTCCTGTCCCTCCTGCCTTTGCCTCTGAGCTGAGATTACAAGTATGAGCCAATATACTAAGATGCATATATTGTTTCCTATAACTATATTTGAAGCTGTTGTACCCCACCCTTCATTTCCAAAGAAACACTTATCACAAGGTCACTACGGAACATCTCACACAGTCTATCACACCAAGTGGACTAATTTACAGTCTAACTATAATGTAAAGGAAATAACATCTTGAGGAAGAAACGACATTGTACAGATTCAAGTAATAAATACACGTTCATCTTCTCTATAATGAATTTCTAGTGCCGGCTACTATGCACGTTATTTGTTTTGCTTCAGAAACAAGATAAAAGCAACATCTCGTTCTATAGAATATACTGGGTACTTCAGGTAAAAAGACACAAAAGTATTGTACATATTTAAATGGTATCTCAAAAATAATCAACTACAAAATTAAGTCATTCTTTAAAGGGATGAATAAAGAGGAGGACGTAATACTGCACATTATAAACTGCAGCTCTCACAAAGCAAAAGGTGTCCCAAATGTTACTCCAAAGACAAAACCTCTATTCTTTACAAGCAGCTCTTCAAAAGGACCATGAGATCTTCACGTCCTATGTGCTGCACATCAACAGAAACTATAGTGTGTCACAAATATCCTTTGAAATCAGCATAGGTTAATCAAATGTCAATAAGATACATGTACAGTACATACACAGAATAGTACTGTGCCAATTTCTTTTAAACATTCACTTTGAGATAAGAAAGGGTATAGAGAAACTGTATCCACCAGGTATCTTGTAAAATAACCTCACACAATTTTCTCATTTCAAAATTTAGATCTTCTAATTACTCAAGGGCATATCCACAGAATATGTGGATGTCCACAAAATACAGAAATTCCCAAATAACATCTTAATGCAGAGAAATGAGTGTGTCTTCTCTCACAAATATTCGTGTGACGCCTTGAAGAGTGGTGGCAAATGCCAGTGCCATGCCTGCAATCCACCAGACATTTTCAAATCAGAAGCCATTCTAATTCTTAAGTATAACCCCACTCTCATAACAAGTTTCTAATGTTCCTATCCTAATCAATGCCCAGTTAAACATTTTCCACAACCTGAACTGAAGCTAACAGTATGAAACAGCAATCAGGACCCACAGGAGGGCATACCAAGCACCTATCCTGTCTTACAAAACGTACATCTGAAAGTTCTTAACATTGAACTCTTAGCTATAAAAATTAAGATGTCCTCTAAATACTAGCAGAGGGCTGCAACACAGCTACTTCTCTACAAATAATTTTCTACTTCTAGTCCAAAAAGCAGAAAATGCTCCAGTGCTTACTAGCGAGAGAAAAGAGGTGGGAGAAGGGTTGGAAGTTGGCTAACATTTCATATCTTTATAATCAAGATTACTATCCTCTAGCTTATATGAAATCCAAAAGTGCTTTCCTATTCAACACGTTAAATGACAGGCATCCTATAGTATTCCCACATGGTGTAATGTCTGCCAACCTAATGTGTGATTTTAAACAAATGGTTTTTAAATATAAAGTAGAAATAGAATAAAACATTAAACCCGGTTATAAAATTAACCGCATTTCCAGGTGTTCCGCTCTCACAGCATTTGGAAACCAGTTATGATTTTACTAGGGTAAACAAAAAGCACTGACTGAGCTTCTGCCCAGAAACCTAACAGCCGGTTTTCTCAGGATGATGCTCTCATTGCTTTTCTCCCCAGCTCTTTGGACACTGAAGAATAAATTTAAGTGAACAGAAGTTACAACTTCTATGAACTAGAATATATCCTGCTCTGGAAAATTCATTTCTAAATTCCAAGCTTAGTAATATGACAAAACAGTACACCAAAAGCAAACAAATTTAACATTAGTAGTATTGGCTTAGGAATCTAATTTTTTAAAAAAATCCTAATTTTTTTTTAAATTAGATTCATATATCATTTAAAATAATCTAAGTTTTTATTTCTAACATAAAATTAACATTTTAAATTGATGTCCACAAAATTACTGATTTTCTAAAGATTTCCAATGTAAGAGCCATTTTTAAATAAATACACCTAACTAATTATTATTTGTCTCAATTCTACCTTTTATGCACATATATCAGTAATACTTTTATCCATTTTAGAAGCTGGGATTTAATAATGCTAATGAGCTGAAAATAAATGTCTGCATATAAAAGGAACACCCATAAATCACAGAGCACCTTCTTCAGGCATTTTTCTAAACACAATCATGACCCAATCAACCATGTTCAAGACAATTTTCAATCTTGACAGTCACAAAAAGAGAGCAACTTGAAATCTATGTTGAAATCCTTTAAAACATATCAAGGAATCTTTAAGACAAGGCTCCAAGTTTGAGACTTTTTTCAGTTTATAATTCTAACCAGACACGGTACAGAATGTGTGACGGGCACTAAAATGCTTTATGCTTTCTATTAAAATGTGCCAGAGCACTAAAACATAAATTTCTGATTTTCAGCGTCATCTTACCTGACCCGCTGAACTGACTGCTTCCCAGGGTCGTCGGTCTTGTTTTCCCACTATTAACAGGTGGGGAAAACATCTGCAAAATAAGCCAAATGCATCTGTTAATCCTGAAATTCTTCTAGACTCCTTGCAAAGAAAAGTTCAAGTGTCATCAATTAATTCCTTAATTTTCATAGAGTTTGAAATAAAAATGGAAGATACATTCAGACCAAGCATGGCAATAACAAGTGATATTACTTACTAAGACTGCTTGGGAAAACTGGTGACATTTGCTATCAAAACCCGGCCACAGGCAAGATTCCAAGATAATTAAGTCTAAACAGTAAAATTTTACCCATGATCTTCACTTTGGCCCTAAGTGATTCCCATTGCATTAACATTACTTATAGCACTTGTAATCAGAATCGCGTCCGATGAAACCACCACACACCAGAAAGATAATAAATATCAGTTCTAATATAGCAGGTATCGGTCCCGCCTTCGAGGCACAGTTAACGTTGAAATTCAAGCCATTAGCAACAAATAAGGGCAATGGGCTCTGTGGCTTCATCTTTTACTTTTAAATCATTTTCCACGTTACGTATGCACACTGCATCCGCATAGTTAAAGTACTCAACTCAGAAGGCCTGGAATTCTACCGCTAGGTCGACTTCTCTGAAGCTGACACATTTTCAGGTACCACAAGCCACATGAAGTCTTGGGGAAGGAAGATACTGAGAAGAGTTTCAGGGGGGAAAGAAATCTTTCATACAAAGTCTAAAATCCCTAATAATCATCAAGGCTAGGCTCAACCAAAGCTCATGACTGCACTGTTCTTCTCCTAACTGGTTAAATCCAATGACCCCTCTGGCATTAAAGTTTGAAATCTGCAAGTCTAGACATTACATCAAAGTTCAGGTGTCCAACTTGGGGGAGCTGGACTCCAGCCCTCCGGAGAATCGCTGAAAAGCAGATGCAGTTGGCGGCTGCCATGTCGCTTTCCCCCTTTCCTCCCTAGCTCGCTATCTCGGGAAACCGCAGCAGAACCCCAAGATGCGGAGGAAAGCTCTCCTACCGCACTGAAGTCCAGCAGGTCGCTCAGCTCCTTGTCGGTCCCTATCGCGGCCATGCGCTGCTGCTGGGGATTCATCTTCAGCCACTTCTAGCAGGTCCTACGGGCGGAGGAGACAAGCTGAGTCGCGGAGACCCGGGGGCCCGACGTGAGAGGGGCAGGGGCAGCGCTCGGGGTCGGGGGGCACCGGCCGACACGCCAGACCCCCACGCATCCCCACCGAGGGAGGGATGGGCAGAGGCGGGTGAGCCCCGCTACCGCTCAGCTGCGGGAACCCACGCGTGGCTCGATGGCTCCCGCAAGTTTCCAAGGTGGCTCGGCTTCGTGGTCCCCAGAGGCGGAGTACCGAACGAGCCCGCGCCCAGCGAGGGAGCAAGAGAGCTGCCGCGACCCGGAGAGCAAGTGACTCACTCGCTCGGCAACAATAGAGCTGACAAGTTGCGGGGAGCGCGCCGCTCACAGGCCCGCGTCTGCGGCCCGGACGTCCCCAGCGGGGGTCCCCGGGGTGGCGGAGAGCGCCCCACGCGCGTCCGCGCACCGCAAACTCCCGCCCGGCCTCCTCCTCCCACTTGGGCCGCCCTGCCCGGGACTCGCGGAACAATGAGACGGGCTCGGCGGCTCCCGGGCCCCGAGCGCCGAGCCCCGAGCGCCGCGCAGGCCGACCGCCGCTGCCCGGGCCTGGACCCCGCGGCTCGCGCCTCCGCCCCGCCGCGCGCCGCAACTTGGACGCGGCCCCGGGCTCCGCGCGGTACAAAGGGACCCGAGTTCCGCGCGTCCCGCCCGCCGCCCGCGGTTACCTGCCGCACGGGCTCTGCATCCAACCTCCCCGATTAAAGTTCACTTTGGCCGGGAGCGCGGGCTCAGGCTTCCCCCCCCACCCCTTCTCTTCGCGCCGCCGGCGGCTCGGTGGCCTCGGGCCCGCGCGAGCGCTTGGGTCCGCGCGGCTCGGGCGGCTCTCGGGCTTGGCCGCCCGTGGCTCCCCGGGCGGGCTGGCGGTCCCCCCGATAGAACTTGTGGGTCTCCTCAGGCGGACATTTTTTTTTTTCGCTGAGGCGGCCTCAGCACCGAGCTCCGCTCGCCTCCGGATCCCTCCGCGCCTCAAGCGCGTCGGCTTAACCCCTCGCTGCCCGGCGCGCTCCCGCCTCCCGCGCCGAGGAAGTGGGACCGCGGAGGGGGCGGGGAGGCGCGAGGCGGGGCGGGGCGGGGCGGGGCGGCGGACGGACAAAGCCCGCGGCCGGCAGCGGGCGTCTCCTCACGCTGGCGGCGCCCTGAAGTGCAGCGGCGGGGACGCAGCTGGGTAGCATCTGGATTCGCCACCCGCTGCCATTCCCGAGCTCAGCCACGCCGGACGCGGGAGGCTGTGGAGCCGCAGCTGTGGTGGGCGGACTCTGGGAAAAGCGCGAAGCCCCTCACGCCGCGCAAATCAGCTCGCTCACCTGAGCGCGCCGTTGCACCTGAGCCCCGCACGGGGGACAACGAGTTCTGCGAGAGGCTTGAGCCCGGCCCTTGGTGGAACCAGAGTCAGCCTCGGGAAGTTAAGTCTTGATGAGCAAGTTCCGAACTTGGCCTGAAGAAGCCCCACAAAAGAAAGATTCGGCCTAGGAAGGAAGGTTTTCCTGAGGGGGAGCCGGGGAGGGGTTTGTGTTGGGGTCGGCGGGTGCAGAGAAGACCAGCCAGGCCTCTGCAGAAGAAACACTGGAGACGAACGAGCCTCCACAGGAACAAACTGAAGAGAGTGGCCAACTCTTGAGGATCATGACTGCAAGAAGCCGTTGGCCTCTGAACTTCATGTAAAGAAGATAGAGTCGTTAAGTGGGCCATGACTGTGCTTGACTGAAGCTGTCCGACCAGAGGAGATTGAAGTTTGGATGTGGGGCCTACATCTAGACTTTATTCCAAATCCGATCATAGTCTACCCTCCCCCAAGTCCATTCCCCCATGTGCCCATACATGCTCAAGCAACTGGTGTGCGAGTGTGTGCGCGTGCGCATGCACGCGCTTCCTTCTTAAAGTATCATAATTTCACCGAAAAATATCAACACAATCCCGTTTCCTGCTACAGTTTCTGGCTGGTTAATTGGAATAAAAATACGCAAATTTACTGAAGCCTTTGAGAACTTTTTTGCATATGCTCAAAATAAGTAAATAAATAAAATCTTCCAAACACAGGTCAAACCAGAATAAATGGAACACACAAGGAAGCCTTCCCAAAGAGAGATCTGATATTTGGTGATGTTTCCAGTCTAAACCAAACAGTTCTGAGCCAGGTCCATCATCATTGATTAAAAGAACAGGGTTTGGGTATCTGTTCTTTGGAACTGGGTGTGTTCTAAGTGAGACAAACAGCAATCACAAATTCGCATGCCTCCATAACAAAGACTTAACCATCAAATAGGAAGTTTGATTAGGTAACTTGTAAAGCCATATTTCTGTGGTAAGACTGACTGAGTAAAACTGGGGGAAAAAAATCTTGACAGAAGGAGATGCCATGGAGCCATAAGGGATGAAAGAAGGGACGGCTTCTTATACTTCTCACGAAACTATTTCAGAGGAAGTCACAGGACTCCCTCTTTCTATGAAAAACTGACGGGTGTGGTGAGATTTTGTTTGTAACCTAACAAAGCTCGTCTGGGAATCAGAGAGTGGCGATAAACCACTAGGTAACCATAGAGGTCAAGCAGTGGTGGCACACACCTTTAATCCCAGCACTCTGAAGACAGAGGCAGATGGATCTCTTCTGAGTCCAAGCCCACTCCCTACACGAAATGGATCCAGTCTAAAAGAGAAACAGCCAGGTGGTGGCGACTCACATGTTTAATCCCAGTACCTGGGAGTCACACGCCTTTAATCCTAGCACTAGAGAGGTGGAGACGGAAGGGGTGTGGCTGGGCAGAGAGGTGAATATAAGGTGGGAGGAGACAGGAGCTCAGATGCAGTTTGACGATGCAGTCTGAGGCAGCATTCTGAGGACAGGATCAATCTGTCCCTTTGGTCTGAGCACTGGTAGAGGTAAGAACTCTAGTGGCAGGCCACTCTGCTTCTCTGATCTTCAGCATTCACCCCAATAGCTGACTCCGAGTTTTTATTGTTAATAACAATTAGAGTTAGTGCTACACTTGGGGAAGGTTTTCATATCTATTATGGCAAATACAAATTTGTGTGTTGATTCTGTCGCTAGATTGGGAGTTTTTTAAGGGTTGGGACTGTCATGCCATGCACCTAACATTATATCTGGTACAGAAGGTTGGGTGGTAACCTGAATTTATTTCTTCTGTTTAAAAAGTTATTTAATATGTCAATGTGTTGCCGAACATGTGGCTCTAATTTTTTAAAGAAAAGCTGGAATATTGAAATTAAAAGATGAAACTATCTTCACGCTTCCATACGGTTTCTGTATGTGTGTTTTTAAATAAAGAAGTAATATTCCCGTCAATGAATAGCCAACGCTATTCCTGACAAATACGGAAGACCCAATATTAAAGTGGAGCTTTAGGGCTGGAGAGATGGCTCAGTGGGTAAGGTGATTGTTGCATAACCTGAGCTGGTTTTTGTTTTGTTTTGTCTTTTTCGACCACTTGAGTTCTATCCCTAGAAGCCACATGGCAGAAGGAGAGAACCAGCTCTCAAAGCTGTCCTCTGACCTCCACATGCACTGTATGGTATATTCATGCACGCACACAATAAGTGTTAAAAATGATTTAATTAGAATTTCACATCATTTATTACACTATTTATTGACTGTGTCAGATAGAACTAGAATTCTGTTGAGAATCTGAGAAAGAGCTGGCAGCACAAATTCCATGTTAATTAATAGTACTGACAGGTTAATATCAACAAATGAATATGAAAAAATACTTAATACACGTGTCATACAGCCAAGGCATGGTGCTAAATAAACGCTTTTGGAGCCAAAAGTCAAAACTCTACCCTGTCCTCAACAAGATTATAATTCAACAGCTTTTTACCTCACTGCCATGAGCAGACACAGGAATTCTATCAGAATGACTTCAGTCCCAGCTGTGCACACAAACACATGTACATTTTATAAACAAGACTGGAGTTATCCTAAGAAACACTAATGATCAAGAAAAGAGACAGCTAAAGGAATGGGCTTCTGTTTTTGTTTCCCACATGGCTCCATGGCATCTCCTTCTGTCAAGATTTTTTTTCCCCCAGTTTCACTCGGTCAGTCTTACCACAGAAATATGGCTTTACAAGTTACCTAATCAAACTTCCTATTTGATAGTTAAGTCTTTGTTATGGAGGCATGCGAATTTGTGATTGCTGTTTGTCTCACTTAGAACACACCCAGTTCCAAAGAACAGATACCCAAACCCTGTTCTTTTAATCAATGATGAAGGACCTGGCTCAGAACTGTTTGGTTTAGACTGGAAACATCACCAAATATCAGATCTCTCTTTGGGAAGGCTTCCTTGTGTGTTCCATTTATTCTGGGTTGACCTGTGTTTGGAAGATTTTATTTATTTATTTATTTGGCCCTTTTTAGAAGAGGACTGCTCTAGAAAGTTCAGTGGGGAAGAGAGAGAAGGGAGTCCTCAAGTCAAGCTATAAGTACGTATAACAAAATGCTATTGGACAAAGTGACGCCTCCTAGTGTTTCTTAGATGCAGGGTTTATTTATGCTCATGAACTCTTGTTGCTGTCTGCTCCAAGGGGGAGCACTGACCCCATGAACAAATGGAAACAATTTCATGTAACAATTTAGTAATACCTTCACTTCATGGCACTCCTACCCCGGCCAACTAAAAACTGAGATTCTTCAAGCTACTGTAATATGGATTATACAAATCACCACCAATGCACTCTTTTTTTTTTCTTATCAGAATTTCCCACTTTCCTGAATGTAATAAAAATGTACCTTCTCCCTGAATGCCAGGAAGTTAAATAGTTGTCTAGTCCTTACTAGTATCATTTATACTCATTATTTAAACCATTTGGATGCCTTATACAAACGTTTTCAGACTGAAGGAGGAAGTGGGTTGGGCAGTGAGTAGAAACACCATTTATGAGAAGCTGAGGATGGAGAAGGCCATCCTGAGCTAAAGACCCCAAATCAAAAAGTGGCATAGAGGAGAGTTACTTGCTTAGTTTTGTTTTTTTGAGACTGAGTATACAGTTTATGCTGGCCTCAAAACTCCCATTCCTCCTGCCTCTGCCTCCCAACTACTAGGTTTGCAGGCCAAGCACTAGATTTGAGGAGATAGTTCCTAGGGGTCCATCTTATTCTCAATGCCTTTTACTCCCACGGGGTTCTTCCGTCTATATTTCATAAAACATCCATTCCAATCAAAATCAAAACAAATTCAAATATCAGAAAAGAAAAATAAACGAAATGCTTTATTATACTTAGCCATGCATTTCAGTGTCAATGAACACTTGTTGAAAAGTGAGTGGTTAGGGCAGGAAGGATAGCTCTGCAGTTGAGAGTGCTTACTGTTCCTGCGTAAGACCTGGGTTCTGGTCTCCACAGTCCCTTCCCTACTTCCTGCACTCATGCAAATACCTCATTCTATCAAAGCAAAAGACTACAAATGTATTTCCTACAAAGGTGACAGGTTCCAGGCAGAGAGTGAGAATAGATCTATTAAGTCAACGTTTACGCACTGAATGGAATGCTAAGGCAACCAACCAGTTTGACTTCTAGAATCCTGTACCACCTTCCCATTTTTCTCAAGATCAGAAGATCCTTTGTGTTGTATGTTGATCAACCCAAAAGAAAAGACCTGAAGACACTGCCTGTGGCCACTGTTTATGCTACTCAGCCCATCAGCTTCTCTGGACTTTCCTTTTCCCTTCTCTTCTCTCTTTTCAGACACTAGCCTGTTGGAGGTGACTTCTAGTTAGTCCCTGGCCACTTTACCCTGAAATAATCACACAGAAACTGTATTAATTAAATCACTGTTTGGCCCATTAGCTCTAGCTTCTTATTTGCAAACTCTTATATATTAATTTAACCCATCTCCATGAATCTGTGTATCATCACATGGCTGTGGCTTACCAGGTAAAGCTTCGTCTCAGGAGGGGCTACATGGCTTCTCTCTGACTCCACCTCCTTTCTCCTAGCATTCAGTTTAGTTTTCCTG